GGTTTCAAACAACTGTTAAGCTGTTACTGTTTTTGGCTGCTGTTTCTGGGTAACCAGAAGGCAGATGGTGTTTTTAAAACAGACTGATCTATGGTTCTGTTTTGAGGATCTAAATGAGTTTAAACAGCCATGATTTATGAACAAGAGTGTTCTTATGGTTCAATCGGGTTTTGAAATATAAACCTDTDGGGGGAACCAGAATTGCTGTTTGGAAAGAACATGAGTGTTCTTATGGTTCAATCAGGTTTTGAAATATAAACCTGTGGAGGGAACCAAATTTTGATGAAACTATGAACAGGTTCACTCTAACAGGAATATTGCAGCCTGTTAGTTGGATGAAATACTTCATATGATTTTCAGGGGAAATAAGGTTGGTCGTGTGTGGTTTGTGATAGCTGTTGTTATGATGGGGATTCTGGATGTAATAAGGATGGTCGTTGTGTGTGCATGGTATAACTATTGCTATTATGTCTCTTAGGATACAACAGATTGGAGTTCTCACTTCTTAGTGATTTGAGGATTCAAAGATGTTGTTCTCATTAGAGATGATAGTATTGATGTTATGGATTGGGAAAAAYATGGCCCTTGGTCATGGATTTTGGATAAAACTGTTTTGATCATACTGTTGAACCAGAGGTACCACAAAGGCTCTGGGTATACCTGTCAAGGAACCAGAGGGCATGGATTTTGGTTGGTATTTATTTTAAAGAACCAGAAGGGTCTGGTTAGTGTTTGAAAACAATTTAAGTGTTTTATAATAGTCGGTTGTGAAAATCAGAAGCTCTGTATCTAAAATTGGTCTATCACACAGAAGCTCTGTATTTGTTAAATGCATAGCTCTGTATTAAAAAATTGGGTTTTTGTGCAAAAGCTCTGTATCTAGCGGCTCTGTATCCGCTAGATACAGAGCTCTGCTTTTAAAATAAGGCTTCCGCATACAGAGGTTCTGCATCTTCTAAATAAGAGCTCTGTATCAAACTTCCTTTATAAAAATCATTTTGAGAATTTTTATACTAGGATTCTTTTTACGAAAAATAGACCAGAGGAGCTCTGGTTGGTCTTGATTTTAGATTGGAAGCTCTGGATTGAGGAACCAGAGGCTCTTGTTAAACTTAAAGCCTTTTATAAATATTTTGGTTTTGAACCAGAGGTTCTGGATTGAGGAACCAGAAGGTCTGGTCATAAATCTAAATGAGTTTTCAAATGTTTTATACTTGGCGAACTTCCTTATAATAGTCCAGAGGGGCTTTGGATGGCCTTGAGCGCTAGTCCGGAGAGGCTCTGGATGGTCTTACGCGCAATTCCAGAAGCTCTGGTTGAGCGTGCATGTATTGTCCAGAAGCTCTGGAAGAGGAACCAAAGGGGCCCTGGACCTCTTGGCGTCAAATTTTCTAAGTGTTGATTTTTGACCAGAGGACCGATGGACCAAAGTAGAATCTGTTTTTATGCCACAATTTGTGATAAAGGTATTGGTGTTTATCACCCTGCACTGCATGAAAAAGGGGGATCTCACTAGACTGTTGTCTAACCCTCATTTTRTATGTTTCAATTATGTGTGTGCAGGTAATACCAGCTATAGTGATAAGGGGAAAGGCATACCATGATTCTATTTTTACTTGCATGCGGGAAGATAGAAACTCAGAGGAATTACATTTGCAAGAACTTGTATTTGGAATTTTTGAGTTGTGTATTTCGTATTTTAGACTCTTGTATTATGGACCTATGTTGGTTTAAAACATGTATTTGATGTATGAAATATGTGTTATATGCAATGTATGGATTTGGGGGTGTTACATGAATCCTCGAGCATTATTAAATGAGAATGAAGGTGCTTTACTTGAAGATACGTCTCAACATCGCGTCTTATTGGTCGACTGATTTACCTGACAATTACCATCCAGATATTTGTTTTGCAGTTCAGAAATTGTCAGAGTCATGTCCTAACCTCGAGTTCCTCATCTATAAGTTGTTAGACATTTACTGAGATACCTTAAACAAGAGCATGGTAAAGGTGTATTCTTTTCAACTCAATCTTCCTATCAACTACAGGCTTATTGTGACTCGAATTGGGGAAACGTGTAGATTCAAGGCAGTAAGGTCTTTGTGTTTTCTTGGGACAATCATTAATATCATGGAAGTCTAAGAAGCAATCAACTGTGTCTCGGTCGCCCACAGAAGCTGAATATAGAGCCATGGTTGTTGTTGCTTGTGAGATTGTCTAGATAAAACAACTTCTTACAGATTTGGACGTGATGCATCCACAATCTGTTTTGCTATTATGTGATAATAAATCAGCAAGACAGATAGCTGCTAATCCTACATTTCATGAAAGAACAAAACACGTCGACATAGATTGTCATTTTGTTCGGAAAAGGTTGCTGACAAAGTGATTCAGTTGACGCCCATTGAGTCTGCTTATCAGTTGCCAGATGTGTTTACAAAGCCTCTATCTCAGTCTCAACTTGCGTTTTTGTTTTTCCAAGATGAACTTGCAAAATCCATACTACCCAAGTTCATCTTGAGGGAGAGTATTACAATTAATGAAGGGTAGATTAAGAAGTTTGTATTATTATGTCTGTTGTAGTTGCCAGATTTAGTATAGATAGTTTTTCCTTTGTATTTTCTTTTCACTCATGATCAATTCAATGAAAGATGGTTTCCCCTTTTTCTCTCTTCTCTATTCTCTAATTTATATTCTTTAGAAAGCCTATTTCCAATGAATCTATGCCCTACACCTCCTCATTTAAAAGTTGTGTTGCATGATGTACATCATCAACATAACAAGAACAGTCAATCTTCTAAAATGGTTATTTTACGCCGCTAATTGGCCGTTGAGGCAATAACCCCCCCCCCCCCCC